TATTTATTTATTTATTTATTTATTTATTTATTTATTTATTTATTTATTTATTTATTTATTTTTGCCTCTTAATCCTAATGTAGTTAAGTTCCCTTTGGATTCTCCCCTAGCTAGTTTGTACCTTTCGGACAACTGTGAGCCTGGGATGCAGGTTAGCCAGTCCACCGGGGGGCAGAGTTGAACAGCCAGTGGTGAACTGCAAGAAGGCTTTCCTTTCATCTGAAGACATGCCACATAAAACTCTCACAAACCTAAGGAAGCCAGGACTGAAAAAAACGAAAGCACAGCTATGTTGATTTGACCATACTGGGAAATGAAAACAAAACCCAGCATAACTATTACTTTGTAAGTCAACAATAACCCTAAAACAACACACATGCTAGAAGAAGAGCTAAACTGTCTAGACACCACCGGGTTAGGTGAGAGCTAGGCTGACAGAGCTACACTCTAAAACGTCAAAGGCTGTCTTACACACAGAGTAAGAAATGCAACAATGAATGAAGTATGAGTTTAAACACACAACAAGCTCCAAATCAGAGCTTCAAATACAGTGTCATGATTAACAGATAATGCTAAATTTATCAGAGTATATTTGATCTACTTTCATCAGTAAAATAATCAAATCTTATGACTCTTTTTACTGAAGTAAAATAAAACACCGCCTACGAACAAAATGAACTCCAACTATATGCCACAACATGGATGGATTTATAATCATAATGTTGAAAAACCAGAGCAGAGAGTATTCGGGAGAGTACACAATTTCATTTATTAAAAGTCAAAACCAAGAAAATTAATCAATGGCTGTTTTAATTACTAGAAAAGAATATAACAAGATCGGGGACTTCCAAAATTGTTTCTTATTCTGACCTCTATTCCACAGGTGTAATTGCTTTGTGAGAATTCCTGAAGCTGGATATACACTCTGTATGCTTCTCCGTTATATTTCAGTAAAACTTTAGCATATGTGCAATTTACCTAAGGGTTTACAAGTTACTCAATTTAAAAAAATAATGGTTACACTCAGTGAGAAAATGAGTTTGCAAACTGTCTGTGACTCAGTGTCCTCACTGCAGTGGCCTCGACATCTCCACTGCTCGCCAGCTTATGAATGCAGTTATCTAAATTATCGTTCTTTAGACAATCTGTTCAATTTTACACCTGAAATATTTTGTATTTTGGAAATTTTCAATACATACCTGTCACGTGTATAGCCAAGCTTAGGTTCAGTGTAATTGATAATGTCCTCTGCTGCCCAGGATGGTGACTGATTTCCACAAAGAATCATCTGGACCTCCTCATGACTGAAAGAACTCAATTTCTCCATTGGAAAAACTTTATTAAACCCATCTATATAACATACACAACACAGCAAAACAAACAAAAAACACAGAACATAACTCAGTTTCTAAGTCACGATTCCAAAATGCCAACTACAAATACGAATCTCTGCAGAGAAAGAAGGGTCACAGGCCCAACCGTGCGCCTACCCCTAACACACACAGAGAAACAATGCTTACGATCGCAAAGGTGAGCAGAAAGAGCATTTGGTCACCACAGTCACTAGCCAAGTTCACATTTATCATAACTATCCAGTCCGACCTTGCCAGCTCTGTCACAAAGGAGCCTAAGTTGTGTTCATGTTTTCAAGTGATTTGCAGTGTAATTCACGCTCATCCTGTATTTTTGTCCACTTACAAATGAACAAATAAGGGTGAGAAGTCTTCATTCCTCCAGAGGAGTAGGGGAAGGTATACTACAACTAATGTTCAAACGTGGCCCGACTATCTGCAGGACCTCACTGCCTGGAGGACCAGAACCTAGGTGCAAATGCAATGATACTCAGCAGTGACTTTAATGTCAAAGTAAAAGGAAATGTGTTGTCTTTTAAAATTACCTCGAAAGGCTTCCATCTGCTTCTGAATACCCGTATGCATACAAAAGTCAAACATCAAATCCACATATTCTTCTGCATTATCCATTGTTATCATCTACAGAGGAAGAGTTTGCCCGTATTAGTGTTCATTTCAACTAGCATACTTGGCTGTGCTAAGAGGATGTGGCAGGCTTAACAACTGTACTAAGAGCAGAATCTTTACCTCATCTTCACCACTTGGCTTGAGATCCACAGCTGTAAAGCCATATATTCTTGAAGAAGGGCAAAACTGGAAATTTAAACTGCAAGTTCAAAAAGATTTGATTACTCTTTAGCAACTGTCCAGTGTTGATGACAGTGCTGCCCAAACCATAAATGCTCCCATTTGCTCACCAGCAAACCCACTGATTAACTAGAAGTTCTCCAAAGATTGACTTTGAATTTTTTGTACAACATACAAATTTATCATATTTGAAAAAATCAGATAATGCTCCAAAAGTATAATGACTAATGTTTTGTTCTTTTTTTAAGATTTATTTATTATGTATATAATGTTCTGTCTGCACAGCCAGAAGAGGGCACCAGCTCTCATTATAGATGGTTGCGAGCCAGCATGTTGGTTGCTGGAAACTGAACTCAGGACCTCTGGAAGAGCGGCCAATGCTCTTAACCTCTGAGCCATTTCTTCAGCCCCTTATTCT